GTGTTTCTTGGTATGGTACTGGAATGTGCATCCTCAGCAGATGTTCGACCTGCTTTGGGGCACGTGTGTTCTACTTTAGAGGACGCCTCTGCTAACTGGGTGTGGGAGGGAGATAAGAATCCAGATGGTGGATGGTGTAGGCCATTTTTTAAGGCTGCTTCTTCATGCTGGAAAGTTCTCTGGGGCACGCCCTGTTTCTTCAGCCCCAGCTCTGGGCTGTCTGCCTTGTCAGAGCTCCCTCTTCAGAGATTACCTTGAGGCTTTTTCCTGGGCACACAGGGAGTCAATTGCTCCTTTTTGTACCTTAGTCAACCGTGTCATTGTGTAGATTCAGCGTTAACTTAGCGTCTGCTTCTCTCTTCAGCCCAAATACTAATACTACTATTAGCAAACTTTCTTTGGCAGATCATTTGTTTTATTCTTGAGGCTTTATATGGGGCCACTACTCTTAGCTACCCAATATTTCTGTTTTTGAAGGGAAAGGGGGGCGTTGGGAGAGGTCCTGCTAATGGCAACAACTAGCCCAGCCATTAGGAATGCCTAACTTGAATTAATGAATCTATCTTTGTTATCGTTGATTCTGAGGTTGGAATTAGAATTTCTAGGAGTTGCCGAGAAGATCTCTTAGCCCTGAGGGAGCCTTGTCCTGTACAAGATTTGAACTGTGCATTTTTTCCCTAGTGTCTCCATCTTTCCCAGTCCACCTGCTGTTTATCATCTAGGAATTCCTCAACATTTTTATTCTGGTGATGTCAACCTTTCTTTTTTTCCAAGACTATTATGGATTTCTTTTTGTCATTTCAGTGTAATATTTCCATGTTCACTATAATTGTTTTGACCACCATGTATTCCAGTAAGTCTAAACTCTGTGTTCCTAGCACAGTTCTCTCTCCGGAGTTCCAGAGCCATACATCTCACTCTTACTGAGCAGTGCTGCAGGTGTTCCAGCAGCACAGATTAAACACGGCAGATTTCGAGTTTGTCAGCCACCCCCTTCCCCACTCCAGCCTTGCCCTCCTGCATTTCCTGTCTTACTGTACAGCACCACTGTACCTAGTCACTCAGGCAAGGAGCTCAGGGAGCATGCTTGGTGCCTCCTTTCCCTTGCCTTCTAGATTTAGTTTGTCCTCACCTAATTTAGAATGAATCTCTCCGCCTTTCTCTACAACCATCATCCTTACCATTTTTCTTCTGGTTTGCTATAGCAGCTATCTCTCTACCTAAAGCCTTGCTTTCCAGTGGTGTTTATAATCACAAAGTCAGTCATTTCACTCGAATTTACATCCTTTAATAGTCTTCACTCCCTGCAGAGATTAGCCCCAAGTCTTTAGGATTAGACACCAAGCCCTTTGCCCAGGCTCCTACCTTGCCCGTGGGGACACGTTCTTCACCACTATTAGCTTTTTTTAATCTCCTTCACAAGAAGCTACTAGTAGTCTTCCTGAACACGTCATATTTTCTCTCTATGTTTCGTGTTTTTCCCGTCATTTTCTCCCAGAAATCTTCCCAATGCCCCAAAGTCCAAGTTGCATGCTCCTGTTCTGTGTGCTCATAACTGATTGTGTGTATATCTGTTGTATGTTCTTCCATACCACTTGCTATTACTGTTGTTGGTATATTTGTCTTTCTCCCAAGAGGCTTTATCTTGTTAAGCAAAAGGATTTCTATTTTCTTCCTTATATTCACAATGCCTGTGACAGTGGAGTACCAATTAAATGTAAATTTAATTAAAAGAAAATAAAGGAAATGAAATGGAATGTTATTTGTGGCAACATACAGGATTCAGAGCCTTCTGCAGGACTAGTGAAGGAATACTTCTACTGGCTATGCTTAAAAGCAGAGAGAAAATTTCTGTCTTCTGTACCCAGATATTCTCTCCTTCTGACATTAACCCAAAGGACAGGACTATAAGGACATGTTGAACGTTTTCCTAGTTACTAAATTTTCAGGCCTTAGGCACTCCCATTCTGAAATCTTGAAATCTACTCTCTGTTCTTATCACTGAATTCTCTTTGTTCCCTAGGAAACTTGAATGAAAATTCTGTGGAGCATCTTCAAGAGAAAAGACTTCAGGATCTGTCATATGAGCTTTCCTGCTGGCTAACTCTGGAAGAGATGGCCAGCACAACAACCGGAAGTCAGGATGGTGTTGTGAATCTTCAAGGGGAAGTGTATGGGGAGCCTGAACTAGATCTCCCCGCTTGTCAAAAGGGGGGAGAAGCATCTTCTCATATTTCCAGAAAGAACAGTGTGGCGACTCTTCAAAGTGATGATTTCAAAAACACTGAAAGTGAAAAATATTTGTCTTTGAAAGTCCCAAGCCAGACGGCCACACAAGACTCATCAGTGAAGGTCTGTAAGGACGAGCGTCAGGATGCTCGGGAAAGCACGTGTCTCTCTTTAACTGAAGAAAGCACTGAGAGCAAGGCAACGAGCGGGGGAAGTTCTCCCGTGGACCACTGTGCAGAGAACCTTCAAGTTAAACCTGTGTCTGATACAACAGAACTGGCCTCACCATTGTCCAGTCGTGAAGGAACTTGCCAGAATGGCCAGCTGAAAGAATCTTTGGATCCCTTTGACTGTAACTGCAAAGACATTTATGGGCAGAAATCACAGCTGGTCAGTTGTAGTCAGCAGAGAGCTCCTACGGAGGAGAAACCCTGTAACCGTAATGACCATAGGGAAATACTTACCCCCGGCCGAGGTGCTTATGCATATGAGAAAGTCCACACTGCAGAGAAACTGTACAGATGTGGCCAGTGTGGTAAGGACTTCAGTCAAAGCTCAGAGCTGCTGCTTCATCAGAAAGACCACGCGGAAGAAAAGCCCTACAAGTGTGGACAGTGTGGGAAGGGCTTCACCAGGAGCTCGAGTCTGCTCGTCCATCAAGCAGTCCACACGGATGAGAAACCCTATAAGTGTGACAAGTGTGGGAAGGGCTTCACCAGGAGCTCAAGTCTGCTCATTCATCATGCAGTCCATACAGGCGAGAAGCCTTATAAATGTGACAGATGTGGGAAGGGCTTTAGTCAGAGCTCCAAACTGCACATCCACCAGCGAGTGCACACTGGGGAGAAGCCCTATGAGTGTGGGGAGTGCGGTATGAGCTTCAGTCAGCGCTCGAACCTGCACATCCACCAGCGCGTCCACACAGGAGAGAGGCCCTACAAGTGTGGCGAATGCGGGAAGGGCTTCAGTCAGAGCTCGAACCTCCACATTCACCGGTGCATCCACACAGGAGAGAAACCTTACCAGTGCTATGAGTGTGGGAAGGGCTTCAGCCAGAGCTCAGATCTTCGCATCCATCTCAGAGTCCACACTGGGGAGAAGCCCTATCACTGCGGCAAGTGTGGGAAGGGATTCAGCCAGAGTTCCAAACTCCTCATCCACCAGAGGGTACATACTGGAGAGAAGCCCTATGAGTGCAGCAAGTGCGGAAAGGGCTTCAGCCAGAGCTCCAACCTGCACATCCACCAGCGGGTTCACAGGAGAGATCCCCATTAAGTGACGTGAGCCACTCAGGTCTTCAGAGGGCTCGTACTGTTAAAACTGTCACGTATTTTTTAACATCACTCTTTATATTCTACAAAGGAGAGATGTGATAAGGGTTGTTGAGATATGTTCCCTCACTGAAAAATCATTCATTCATTTAAAGTATTTACGTATCAAGCACTTTGTTATGCTATACAATGAATGACTTGTTCTGATTTCTTAGATGGGTAGAGTGAAAACATCTGTACTTTGCAATTCAGTCAGTGTTATTAAAACTACATATTCTACCCGGCATTTTTAATTGCAAGAACTTTGTATTTGTCGAACCATGGCATGTGTCCCTTTGTTCACATTCTCTTAGAAATCGAAACTCTGGTTTTTCTTCAAATTATGTGCCTTGTGTTTTTTGTATTTTTTGTATTACCTTCCAGTCCTGATTAGCACTTTCTAAACTACGATTGTATTATATAGTATGCCCATTTTAGGCTGAGGAGGTATTTGGAGATATAATGAACATGGAAATCTCTTGTGTTTATTGCAAATATGTACAGTAGTTTGTGGCCACACCACAAGAAGGTAGAAAATTACTCATTACTCATGTAGTACACCCTCATGTACTATTTTGACAGGAAGTTGAACAACCCCTTTCCTCCCAGGCAACTGTTCAGGAATGTAAGTAGTTCTTCTTCTTGAGTACATCTAGTTTACTGGGGGTACTTCCAGAGTGAAAGCAGGGGAAGGTCCAAAGCAACATGCCCCAAGTAGTTGACAGAGTGTGGCTGGCAATGAAGGGTGGCATCTGAGAGCAAGTGATACCAACAGATAGGTTCCAGACGCAGAGCTGGGGAAAGCTAATACCCTAGGGAGCACGTGGAAACTGATGAGCAAAGGCTGCAGAAATCACTGGGGCTTGGCAAACTATTAATAAAAATGGCTAGCAGAGAAAGTATTAGAGAATGTGCTTTTGTTAAACATATCTGATATCCCTGAACAACACTAAAATGCTAGGAAAAAATTTTTTTATAAAACCACAGCAATAGAGAACAGGGGAAAGACCATCAGCAAGTGCGATCTCAACACAAATTTGAAAGACGGAAAGAAAATGGAAGGATAGTTATTAGAGCAGAAGCAGGCACAGTTATGCTGCTTACATGTGGGGATAAGTAAAAGAAGGAACCAGTTTGGCTCCAGGCTCAGACATGGTTAATACCCCGGAGGATGGGAGTCAGACACAAAGAGAAAGCAGTGAAACTAATGACCAGTTGTATATGGAAAATTCTCCCTTGTCCCATAAATACACATATTTCTCCCCAACCCCTGTGCATGGCCGACCAGGGATTTACCCTCCAGCTAGAGGTGGGAAGTTTCTTCTCTGCAGAAGTTGAATGGTCCCAAAGGAAGGACCTCTGTATTCTGTCATTTGGGAATCCAACAGTAAAGCAGCTATCTTTCTAGCTGTATATATACACATATATTAATAATAGAGCTTCTAAACCCATGAAATAAAAACTGATAAAATTGAAATACATAGAGGTAAATTTTCAATTATAATTAGATATTTCAATCATCAAGTAATTGATAGCACAAGTAGACAGAAAGTCAGTAAAGCTATATAGACTGGAACCACACTATCAACTAACTTGACTAATTTGCATTTGTAGAACACTTCACTCAAGAGCATAACATACATTCTTTTCATGTGTACCTATTATGGACTATAAAATAAGTCTTTAAAAATTTAAAAGAATGAAGACCATGCAAAGTATGTTATTTCCCCCGGACAGAATTAAATTAGAAATCAGTAAAAAAGATTTCTGAAGAATCCCCAAATATTTGGAAACTAAACAACACACTCCTAAATGAGCAATAGGTTAAAAAGAAAGTAAGAAAATTTTGAACTGAATGAATATTATAAGAATTTGTGAGAATGCAGCTAAAGAAGTGCTTAGAGGGAAAATCATAACATTAAATACTTAAATTAGATAAAAAGAAATAAATCAATAATCTATACTTAAGAAAGTATAAAAAGAGCAGACAGCCCAAAGCAAGCAGAATAGGAGATGATAAAAGTAAGAACTAAAAATTATGAAATAGCAAATGGACAATAGAGAAAATTCAATGGAACCAAAACCTTGCTCTTTGAAAAGACTGAAAGAATTGCCAGTATCGGGAATGAAAGAGGAAACATACTACAGATTCTATAGACAGTAAAAGTATAATAAGCAATTTTATTAACAATTTTATGCCAATAAATTCAAAAAACTTAGATGGAATGGAAGAACGCTGAATAACATATTAGTGGCTCCCCCTAGCGGCAGATCAAGCAACCATAGAAGCACACACATCCGGGCTTGTAGGTATCAGCTGAGATCCACTGGCTTCAGGTCCTACCTGCTGGAAGAGGCCCAGGAGAAACTGTGGACTAGGGAATGGTGGAAAGGAGCGAGGCCTGCTCCAGACTGCAGGTCTCACACAGCCCCACCCCATATGCAGACTTTTTGGCTGAGTGGGGCCATTTCAGCCCCTCCCTGGCAGTTTTGCCTAGAAGCAGAGAACAGACCTTTGACCCCTGCTAACAGCATTTGTGGAGCTTGAGAGCAGGCTCACACAACCCAGCTCCACCCCACTCCCCGACCTGCCCCTACTGAGGTGGAGAATAAGGACACTACTGGAAGTCCCAGGGCCCCACCCACCACCTGAGGCACTAGTGTGCCTCTTCAGAGGAACAAGAGCTGCTTACAGGACCCCAAAACAACACTACATCTTACTCCTCACAGCAAGCACCACCTACTGAGAGGGAGGTCATTTTGCACACACTTTTACTGCATCTACTGACTCATCATACAGATGTAGTCAGATCTCACCAACAAACACCACCTACTGGCTCAGAGACTAAACAGGGCATGTCATTATCAAATGAAAATCTAAAGGTAAGAAGCAACCGCTGATCCAGATGGGAAAGAATAAGCAAAAGAAATCTAAAAGTATGAAGAATCGAATGGAAAGCACACCCCCAAAGGGGAACACCAGCTCTCTAGCAATGGCCATGAACCAAATTCAGAACACTAAAATGACAGAAGAAGAATTTCAAACATGGATTATAAGAAAAAACACAATGATATGCAAGAGAAAATGGATAACCAACATAAAGAAACCACAAAAAAAATCCAGGAAAAAAATGAAAAATTCACTAAAGAAATTGAAATGTTAAAGAAAAATCAAACAGAACTTCCAGAAGTGAAGAATTTATTCAAGGAATTACAAAACACAGTGGAAAGCCTCAAGAACAGGGTAGATCAAACAGAAGAAAGAATCTCAGAGATTGAAGATAACACCTTTCAATTAAATAAATCAGTTGCAGAGATAGAGCAGAGAAATAAGAGAAAAGAGCAAAGCCTACAAGCCATGTGCGATTATGTGAAGGGGCCTAACGTGAGAATCATAGGCATCCCTGAGGGTGAAGAAGAAAATACACAAGGGTTGGGTAAGCTATTTGAGGATATAATAGAGGAAAATTTCCCAGGCCTTGCTGAAAATCTAGATATCCAGGTACAAGAAGCTCAAAGGATTCCTGGGAGATTCATTGCAAACAGGAAGACACCACGACACACAGTCATCAGACTGACCAAAATAACCACCAAAGAGCCCCTCCTACGAGCTGTAAGGCAAAAGAAGCAGATAACCTACAAAGGAAAATCCATCAGAATAACAGAAGACTTCTAAACTGGGACCTTACAAGTGAGAAGAGACTGGGGCCCCATTCTCATTTTTCTCAAACAGAATAATGCCCAGCCTAGAATCTTGTACCCTGCAAAACTAAGTTTCATATATGAAGGAGAAATAAAGACCTTCTCAGACAAGCAAAGACTGCAGGAGTGCATCAAGACAAGACCTACCCTCCAGGAAGTACTCAAAACAGTGTTACACACAGATAAGCACAATAAACAATTGCCAATGTAAAATCATCCAAAAGCTAAAGGTCAAAGGCCAGATAGCACAATGGCTCAAGAGAGAAAACAAAGCAACAAAGTTTAACTCAACAGGATGAACAGAAATCTTCCCCACTTATCATTCTCTCAATAAATGTGAATGGCTTGAACTGCCCACTAAAGAGACATAGGCTGACCAAATGGATAAACAGACACAAGCCAAGTATCTGCTGTCTTCAGGAAACACACCTAACCCACAGGATGCATTCAGACTCAAGGTGAAGGGATGGGAAACAATATTTCAAGCAAACAGAAGCCAAAAGAAAGCTGGAGTAGCAGTTCAGATAACTTAGTCTTCAAATCAACAAAAGTAATGAAGGACAAAGATGGTCAGTATATAATGGTGAAGGGTACAATTCAACAAGAAGACATAACAATTCTAAATATTTATGTATCTAACTCAGTTTCACTGAGATTCATAAAGCAAATACTTCTTGATCTAAACAAAATGATAAACAGCAACACCGTAATAGCCAGGGACTTCAACACCCCTCTGACAGAACAGGACATATCCTCCAAACAGAAAATAAACAAAGAAATAATGGACATAAACAGAACTCTCAAACAAATGGGCCTGACATTTACAGAACACTGTACCACAAAACCACTGAACATATATTTTTCTCATCAGCTCATGGGACATTCTCTAAGATTGACCATATCTTAGGCCACAAAGCATGTCTCAAAAAATTTTAAAAAGTAGAAATTTTACCATGCATCTTCTCACACCACAGGGGAATAAACTTAGAAATCAATTCCAACAGAAACTCTCATCTCTGCACAAAATCGTGGAAACTAAACAACCTTCTCCTGAACAATTATTGCATTAAGGAGGAAATCAAGATGGAAATCAAAAGATTTTTTTGAACTAAATGATAAAGGAGATAGTGTTATCAAAATCTGTGGGACACAGCTAAAGCAGTCCTGAGAGGAAATTTTATATCCATAAATGCCTACATTCGAAAGACAGAAAGATTAAAAATAAACAATCTAATGAATCATCTAAAAGAACTGGAAAAGAATGAGGAAACCGACCCTGAACTCAGCAGAAGAAAAGAAATAACAAAGATCAAAGCAGAACTAAATGAAATTGATAATAACAAAACAATATGGAAGATTAATAAAATAAAGTTGGTTCTTTGAAAAAATAAAACTGACATGCTTCATGCTAGATTAATGAGAAGCAGAAAAGAAAGGCCTCTAATAAGCTCCATCAGGAATGAAAAAGTAGAAATTACAATTAATGCCACGAAAATACAAAATATCATCTGCAAATACTATAAAAACCTCTATACACATAAACTTGAAAATGTGGAGGAACTGGACAAATTCTTAGAAACACACAGCCTCCCTTGGCTGAATAAGGAAGAAATAGAATTCCTGAACAGATCAATATCAA